CTAATTAATATAAATGAAGTTCTTGAATTCAGACTTTTTTATTTGTGTATATTATAGCGCCAGTCCAATTGTAGTAAACTGTTTATTCGAAAATTGGCTCAGAATGAGAACGTGTATTTTTAATGATCAATCAGAATTTTTCCATTAAGGTAATGAGATCGTGAAAAGGCCATTAAAAATATGCCTTATATTTTTTTAACTACTTAGTAACTAGTACCTCTTTGAAAAAAAAAGCTGACATAAATTTGGCTCGTAAAACATGCTACACACTTGCAAGTTGAAAGAAAAATATTAAATTCTGAAAAAAAAATATTTTACGAAATTTTTTTACAACCCTAATGTATACAGGCACACAAACACAACTTCATACATTTCTGTATAAGTAATTAGTCTAAGTAGTTTTTAATTAAACGAGCTTGATTGATTTTATAAAAGCACCTTAAGGCTATGAAAAATATGCAGCAGTAATTAACGGTAATTTCAAAAAAGAACTGTCGAACCTTTCTAATCAARGAATGTGTCATTTTGTACACACGACTTAATTACATCAATTAAAATTGCGCGTCAATTTGTATACGAAAATATATTTATTAATTCGTCGGCAACGAAATTTAACGGCGCTCAGTTGTAGTATACAGTACCTTTATAGACCCCTGAAATCTCTTTTGAGGTATGCGACACTGTTTAATAAACAAGAAAAAAAATAGTAAGAAGGAGAACGCTGCTAATAAAAATATTTAGCAAGCGGAATTCGGATTCGGAAAAGGTTGGCTTGCGATGGTGACTTAAAAGAGGCTGTTTATGAAGACCTCGACTGTTTCTGATCTTACCTTGAAGTTTTGTTTGGATACGTGGTTCTTGCATTGTCTTAGCGGTGATTGAGAACTTTAAAAGTGACACGCATGGGGAGTAAGCATCTTCTTAACCGAAACATTGGAAGTAACGCCATTTTTTGATTTCGGTTGAATCGAATCCTATTMCTGAATAGTGGTATTGCTCACCTTTAATCACTACTTTTTAAAAATGYATCAATAATAACAACGGATCTGTCAGAATATTAAACTCAAGTCGACGTTACTCCATTCAGTGCATGATATTAGGCTAATCGAATAAATCATATACCGATCCACACTCTTTCGGATAGCTAACACTTGCCGTTGGAAAAATAATTTTCGAAAAGTATTAAGCGTAATTATTATACYTTCATAAATACAATACAAATTATCGCTTAGTGTATGGTTTCCAATATGYCAAATTGAATGACACTAAACTGACAGTTTAGTAACTATGTGTTTGTACTGAAAATAAATACAATGAATTATTTGATAAGTCATTATATGACATAAGTCCTTAAGAGACTTACGCTAGTAACTCGGTACATCTACAATTACATGCAAAAGTATTATCAAACTGAATGTCAAACAGTGTCAGTAAATTATCATTTGAACTATCTTAATTTAGCTTGGCYATGTTTGAGTTATTAAGCTGAAAACTTGCACACGTTCTTTGCTCCCTTGGAAGCTCCAAATATGTCAAAACCACCGATATCAGATCCCTATAGCGCATATTTGTCATACAAACTGACCGTTCAAAATCAAATCCTTATATGGAAAACTTTTTTATTTGRCGGAATATGTTCACGAAACTCGGTACAAATTACTGCTGAAGATAGCGCTATAACCTCCAAATATAATGCTCAGATCGGATGATTATAGCATATAGCTGTCATACAAACGTACCSATTAAAATCAAGTGCTTGTATGGAAGACGGTTTAATTTGACAAGATATCTTCACGAAATTTTKTATGGATTTAATTTCTGAAGCTATCATGCAGGCTCCGAGGAAACTGATCAGATCGGACAACTATAGCATATAGCTGCCATACAAACGCACCTTTCAAAATCACAGGCTATTATGGAAAACTTTTTTATATGACGAGATATCATCACAAAATTTGACAAGAGTTATTGTCCAGGAGAGCCCTGCAATATTYAAATATATGATTTAGATCGGACGAATACAGCATGCAGCTGCCATACAAACTGATTGGCCTAACACAAGTTAACGCTCATTTTATATCTTTTGCTGTAAATAATATTACATTTTTTCAATGCAAAAAAATGTTCCCTGGAAACACTCAATAAAAAGCCATTAAAAATATGTATTTATTTAATTAGTTATGATTGTGTATGTACTTGTAATTTTGAGTTCACCTGTTATGAAGCCTATTCATATCTACTAATATAATAAATAAAATTTTACATTATTAAACAAAGGATTATACTTTAGGTAAGCACAGCATTTACGAAGCGTAAAACCAGCAAGTTTTCTAAAATTAGAATTTAAACTGCTTTTAATTAATTTAATTAATTGCTGAATTATGGAAAATCATATTTCCAAGAATATTTAATATTTCAACGGAAAATATAATAATATGAAGGGGATTTGAGGATGATTTCACGAAATGGCTTCTTAATTTTAATAAAATTGTTCTTTTTAATTTTTTTCAAAATTTTTTGATATCTATAATATTCAGTTCAGTTTAAAGTTTTTCTAATGTCAATTGTTTTTTTTCTCTTCATATAAATATGGACAAATTTGAAATTTCGCCTKTTCGCTGTATATTACTCATACGCCATGTGTCACCATACTCTTAATAACATAATCGCCACCTTATGTGTATGGAAATATAAAWGTATGAATCAAGCATGCTAGCCAGTTAATCAGCTCATAATATGTACGAGTATTTATCCAAAAATGACGATTTCATCTACTCATTATWTAATTATATTGTTAAATAAATTCTCTCTTGTCTTAGATATAAAGTCAGCCTTAAGTGGTTAAAAAAAGCATAATTTCTATATATCTTTACTATTGTTAACATTTTAYGCTTATATGCCAAGCAAAGTAGTCTACTTGGATTACTATATATCGGAAGTAGGCGTGTGCGTTGTTCAATTTTATTCAATTTTATGTCTGCCTTAGACGGATGAGATGAAAATGTTTCGAACCGTATGTTGAATCTAAAGTCACTTAAACGGTGGTTTTGCCCCATAATCCATGACAAATTTCGSGAAGATAACTTGTCGAGTAGAAATGTTTTCCATTAAARAACTTAATTTGAATCGTTTAGTTTATATGGCAGGTATAAGCTATAGTTGTCCGATCTGAACAATTTCTTCATTGCATTCATAGCATTGCTTTGAATAATAAACACTGCTGAATTTCGTGAATATATGTATCTTGTCAAATAAAAAAGTTTTTCTTACAAGACCTGGATTTGGATCGGTCAGTTTGTATGACAACTATGTCTATAATGAGCCGATATTGGCGGTTTCGACGAATTAGTCGCCTCTTGAGAAAACAAAAYAAAGTGTGGACAATTTCTCAGCGATATCTTAAAAAATGTTTAAACGGACACATAGTTAAAGAGACTTATAAGAATAGGTCCTTCTGAGTATTACAAACTACTTTTGTGGCTTAATATGCGCTGCCCAGTATGAAAATATGTATACTTCGGTGGACTAGGCTTTTGGTTTGATCGAAAAATGTTTCATAGTGTGATACTCGTTTTTAGTATACGATTTTCTTTCCTTTATAAAACCCCCTATATTATTAAAAAWTTTATTTAAAATTTAATTAAATATTAAAAATTTCTAATCCTCTATTTTTCAGAATATTGCTATAATTTTTGGATATTAGCTTATGTCCATATAAAGAGGTGAGTTTAAATAAATTAACCTTGAGTGTTCATTTTTATATATTCAACTATTTATTTTATTTACTTCCTTCATAACATAGAGTAATAACAGTATTTTTTTTAATATTTAAAGATGTATTTCATCTTTTACACAAATAGATTGTTTAATAAAAATAATAATTAAAATTCTAAGTGCTTCTTGATCAGTTATTATTAAGGAAAAATGTCGCACTCCATACAAGTCTGGTGTTGTTARTGGTTCGCCAATTTGTTTTAAATTGAGTTGTACCTCGTTTAATAAAAGTKTTTGGTGAACATGAAGAGCCTACTTAGCTTTCTTACTCGTATCACTCTCGAAGCTTGAATTGCTCTACTATAACAGAGTGACAATATAATCGGAACACGATCTAGTTGTGCGGAAGCCTGCTGGTTGCTTTCTGAGCAAACTCACAAGTTGAGCTTGTATTCGATTTAGAAGCTGTTTGGTGGTGGATTACTAAACAAGTGTGCTATTAAATCATTCATTCTTGAGTTGTTCACACCAGATCGCTTTAAATTGGGTCAGGTTTAAAGACTTCGGGAGAATCATGTCACTATCTGATACCTTTTCTGCTTTAAGCTGTTTAAAAGCAGCCTATATTTCTTCTACGTTTGAAGGAGAAGATGATATTGTTGAACAATTGCTGACAGATGTTAAATTTTACATTTGAAATTTAACTATTCTAACGGTTAGCTCTGTGAAAAGAGGGTTAAGAACCCCAGGAATTGTCGAAACCATCAAGGTAATTGTTGGCCATTCGTTGTAATTATGACACCATTTTATTTAATTGGGCGATTGGAGCAGCTATATTTTCTTGTTCGCACACATATTAACATATTTGTAATTACTACAAATTAAAAAGAGCACTTTCTGAAGTGCCACGCTCACTTTGAACTTAGAATCGTTTTCACTAAGCTTTATAGACTTGTAAATAAATTAAATAGCATCGGTTAACAACATAAACTCCAAAACAAATATCAAACATCAGCTATGGCGACAGTATGTTCACACCACCTTTAAGTTAACCTAAAAAAGATCGCGTGATGCCCACAAATTCTATAAATTTAAACACGAAAATTTGTTCTGAAAACAGACTGCGCCTAGAATGCTTATATGTGTATTTTATGTGTTTTGTAAAAATATTAACGTCACTTTAATTGGTTGRTTAAAATGTCGGTTAACGTCATAACAATTACCTAAGGTGTTGTGGTCTATAATTTAATTTGAATAATTGAAAAAAAAAAAAAACGAAAACGACTCAATTTATATAATTATGGAGTAACAATTCAAAATCTGAATATGTATGAGAAACTCTCACAGATGTGGTTGTTGCTTGAGAAAATGAATGAGAGTGCGCAGAATATGCACAACTATGCAAATGAAATGAAAACAATAATCTCAAGCATATAAAGGGTAATCCAATTCGGGGTTCCCTATTTTTTTTTTTTTTTTTTTTTTAAGCAAAGCACAGAAACTTCAAATTTATTGGGGAATGTTTATTATTATTCGAAAGCACATTCTTTGGTATTTATTTTTTGAAGATTATCTCTTTCATCTCTTGTCGGCAACGTTTCAGATGGTTCATGCGTTGAGTCCAATTTTCGAATACTCGTTCGAGCATTTCGAATGGTAATTGGCGAATGACACGCGTGATGTTTTGCTCCAAGTCCTGAATCGAAGCAGGATTGTCCGCATAGAGTACAGACACACCAAACCGTTTTTTTTCCTGGATGAAATGGCAGATCTTGCATCTCGTCAGATTGCTCCTCGTCCCAAATAAAACAATTTTTTTTTGCATATTCACTGAGCCAGAAATAGTCCTCATCGCTGAACAAAACGAAACGTCGGAACTTCTCGGAGCTTTTCAAGAGCCTATAACGATGTCGCGCTGGAAAGTCGAGGTAAACGATTTGTAAACGTTCTTTAGGCGTAAGTCCTTCTATGATGAAATATAAGACCAAAATAACATGACTGCTTGACACGACTGATGCGTGATCTGTCCAARAAAGTCACAAGTCTCTCTGTTTGCATCACCCTTTGTATTCAAATGCCAATGTGCATATGCTTTTGTCATATATTCGATATGAAGATGTATATATATGTATACATGTGTATATGTAAAGACTTGTTTTTATGTAATTGTAAAGTGAACCTAAACTTCGTTTCACATATGCTTGACTGCACCTCGTGCTGGTGAGATAAAGTTATCACCAGTGGCACATGCAGCAGGCAACGGTGTAGCGCACCCAGTAAGAAAAATGTCACATTTTGTAGTAGTAAGAAAAAACCGTTAACTTTGCAAAATATTATATCTCCATAATACTTTCCATCATCTTCTTTATAATTATGTTAGTTCATAAGATCATTGTTGTCGATCATACATTTCAGAATATTGCTCAACAATTTATAACCCAAAATATTCAATTTAATATCTGCTCTCCTTATCAATTTGTAATATGGTACTGTTTTCCAAAATATAAAAAATCCAAAATATTAAAAATCGACTTTAATTGATCCAGATGCATAGAGCCGTTATTAAAACTAAAACTTATTAGAACAGAAAAGGAGTAAAGAAACAAATCTTAACACTTTTCTGAACAAATGTCAACCTTCAATTCCTCGCGGTGACTTATATTAACACTGAAGATACTCTTGCGGCTGAATTTCAGCCCTACAACTTACTTGCATCTTCCTGTTATCCTTGATAGTGCAACAATAATATATTTTTAATTAGCCTACCGAAATCCTTCTTTYTTGGAGATTTTGGCTTTGAGATCATCTCTAAAATAGACAGATCTATAGCTTTTAGAAGGCGCGATGATAGTGCAAACAGCTATCAATTTCGACATGGCAGAGTCTATTACTACGACTGCCTAGCTTCGAAGGCTAAATGAGAGAATGTGATGAATCATTTCAATCTATTGTCTAGACACACGGAACTTCGGCCTGAAAGTGTCTAGCTTGGATCTATCTCGGAAATACTTCTTCGTCTTCTATAATGGCGCAGACACCMCTTACGTGGTTATAGCCCAGTAGTATAAGTTTATGGAAATCAGGAAAGTTCTTTGATTGTCATCCACTTGGGAGTGACAAGAAACGATTATTTTATCCGTTTGAAGGCGAGCTAAAGTTAGATGGCGCACCATCTCTCACCAGACTTGTGCGCTGGATTTGGGACCCGCCACGTAAAAACACTCCTCATGAAAATAAAGCAACAGCTTCTAGGCAATACTATATATCTTATAATGAAGCTAAATATTCGCTTGGAAGCCTTTATAAATTGATTTGAACGACTAGTTCAAGCTATTGTTTAGACAACCGTAACTTCGGCATGAAAGCTCGAAAGTCATTGGACGAATATATATTGTAATAGTMTGCTACTCGCTACATAATAATGCGTCTCAACAAATCTCAACGCTAAGCAATAAGTATAAGATCAAGGAAATTAACTATTCTCGACATTTCTTTGCGATCAGTGTTTTTTCCGATTATTACGCTGAATTGCCGTTTTGTTATGATGGTGGACTCATATTTTTCTGCGCAAATTAGCGGACTGTCTGGAATTTCTAACGCATGCCATTTCCTACGGCGTCACACACCCATATATCGYTTGTATGTTTTCATTGAATAGTGGAAGAAAATACGTTTAGTCTATTTGCTTTATCATGCGATTCGTTGCAAAGGTGTTGAATATGACGATTGGATGATGCCTGGCAGATATCTTATTGTGTCATATTGTTCTAACTATTTGTAAGACTCTACAAAAGTACAAATTTATGCGTGTGTGCAAAGCTTGGTGTGCAACTTGGCATGACTCGGCACTTCGGYGCGTGCATGTGTGTGTATTTGTGTCTAACGAGTGTTAAATTTACAGCACGTCGCTGACAGAATTGTGCCATAAACCCCATACATTCGCGTCGAGGCCAAGTCAAGGTGCTACCAGCGACTAAGTAAGTAAAATGTCTCTAACCAAGCGTGTGAATTCCTTGTATTAAAATTGATATGTGCGCTAGTGTATTTGTGTGCTCAGCGTTTTGCGCATGTGTGCATAAGTATGCGATATGAYGGGAGTGTTTTGTTTATTCTATTGTTATTATTRTTTTTCCTTTTTCTACCTTCGTTCTGTAGTTACATACTATCAATCATAGTGTTTACCAAACAATGACAAAGTTTCGCATATTTCCTGATTCACTCGGAGTTGGCGTTTCCTTTGCCGCTGCCGGCTGTATACGGAGAACTTGCTGCTGGTAAATAGAAACTTGTATGAAATGAAAGTTATTGGAAAATAATTGAATTTGTTGTTGTTTTTTTTTTTCAAGAAGCTTTCGAAATGCATCACTGGAAAAGTTTMWGCGAACTAAGAAGAAGTTGATTTTTTGTRCAAAAGTTTAATTATTTAAAAGTTTTCCGCATAAGAAATTAACTTTTAACGTTCGRTTTGCATGACAGCTATATGCCTGCGTAWGCGTGTCGGATGTCATGTGCASATGTCCGACGGCGGCAGTTGAAGACTTACATGATCTCACACCGCTTCACCTAGTAATCACTGCACACTGCTCTAAATGACGGCAGAAAGGTTTGGCTGAGATAAGGTAATCTCTTCCCAATGCATGCCCTAAGTGGGGAAATACCACAGGCTCTTTTTTCAAAGGACAGCATTACCAAGAGTGTTATCTTCACCAGGAAGTCCTTAGCACTATGGCTTAATGGAACGCTTAGAGACAGTAAAATCAAGTGGTGCAACAAAGGCTCGAAAACGTCGAAGAAAATTAGCACAGGGGTTGCAGAACCACTCACCAAACTCTCCATATCTATGGGTAGTTTTTCGAGCATATTCCAAGCAGAGCAGACTTGCAATGAACGCAATGAACGTCTGGCTATACTAAGCGAAGGTCAAGCATCACTCAAACAGACTCTGCGAGATCAAATCGCTCTTGGTGCAGGAGTTTTTAGAACGATTGTACAGTCTATCAGATCGTWA